TCAGGGATCTGACCTAGGGATGATAGCTTGGAGGACAAGCTGTTTAAACTTGTGAGATACACATATTGTTTTCTACAGTATCTCTGACCCTCAAAAAAGTGTATTCTTCTCCGTTAAGTGCTCCTGAATAGTGAAAAATACGATATTAATTGCAGATTTCAGATAACCACGATATATTCTCGTCTCCCATCCGCAAATAGATAAAACCCCAAATTTCAGTAGCAATCTCTGTGGAACATGTGCCCAAAGAGAATTTATAGACCTATGTACTTCCACTTTACAGATGTACATTTATAAGACCTGTTTCAAAGACCTGTGATTCTGTCAAACCTCAGTGTTCAATAGCTTTGAGGATCTGGTTTTACATAGTCACCACCATTAAGATCCTGTATTTACATCTCGCTATCACTGGACTGGGAAATAATGGTACAGTATAGGGGAGCATACAGTTAATGATTTATACTGTCCTGTGTAATTTTTTCAGGTGTTCCTAATGCCTTTGTTGGCCAAAACCCTTGCGGAAGTGCCCTCTTCACCTGGGCTGAAATACCCCAAAGGGATCCAAGCATTAACATTCAAGGCTTTAGGCTCCACAACTCCAACTGCTTCTGTCTAAACTCTTCAGATACCCAAGGACCCGTTAGTGAGAACAGCAAGAACATCCTCAGTCACGATGGTGCATCAGTGTTAAGACTTTTGGCCCTTCCCTGGGGTTTACAGACAAGATGTTTCTGCACCAAGTGGTGGTGACAGGATACATTTATCCCATGCAGAACACAAGGCTTTGCGTCACCCAAGCACATGGTGGTGACAGCATTACCTAAAAGATGGGAAGTCCTCTGAGAGGGAGCCTGAACACTCATCTCTAGGCTTTAAGCAGAAACCCTCTGTGCTACCTGGAGCCACTGGACTGCACAGAGCAGCAGTGGTGGACAGGTTGCTGCTGAAGATCTCCCATTTTGTGCAGAGCCCTTATACGCCCAGAGGAGCAGTATATAGGTCCCAGGTCTGCGTCTCTACTGGCTGAACAGCTGCTGTATCTGTTGAGATAAAGAAAGGTGTGAGGTCCACACACAGGCAACAAGGCTGCAGTTACCCAGCTTTCCTACTCAGAAACATTTAGAAAAGTTCTGGCCATGTTACTGTGGACACAGAGCATCTCTCTGCAGCAGAGGATCATCTACATCCCCTCGTACAGTAAAGTAAACAAGTAAAGAAATAAATGTGGTGTGTGTTAGTGGATATTGGGCTTTTACATCTCAGGTACTGCAAGTAATGTTGCAAGACTATCTTCATTCTGTCTTTTAAGAATTCGTTTTTAAATGTACTCTTTGTAATGTATCTCATGGAATAACTATTGCACAAACAGAAATAGCCTGCATTAGACAAATACAAATCACATTTGCGTTGACTGAGTCATCCCCTTCAGGGTGCAATCAATTATTCAAGAGGTACACATCCAAACGTTGCATAAGAGCTCTCTTCCTACTGAAATTATCACATATGTTTTAAAAATTTATCAAGGAGGAGACAAATAGCTTAAAATACTTTTGTGAACTTCTAATTATTTTCGGGATAGGATCAAAGCCAGTATAAAACATCCATGCGTAACTCAGCATACTGCTACATGCTATGTGCTCACAGGCATGTGGAGACCCCAGACACAACCATACCATAATCCATTAATCCTTTATTATTCAACACCATATTGCTGCCCTCACAGAAACCAGTGTGACTTCTCTGCGGGCAGAACTGCCCCTGAGATCACCAATGGTCATAGCAAGATATGTTGACTCCCCGGTGCACCCTGCCTGCAGCAGCCCTTTCTAGAGCACGCGTTGCATGGCTTCTGTCCCGAGCGGGAGCATCCTTCCCAGGCAGCTGCTCTAAAACCCTGGTCTGATTTCAGACAAAACCGGGGTAAAGCCTAAGTTTAAATCACTCACTAGAAGAGGTTATTGAATAGAAAATTATGACAGTTTTTCCTAGCAGCAGGAAGCAAGAATTTGAAACAATAAGCTATTGAATAATAAACATCATAATCTTTGCCGGGCAAGAGTCTCAAATAATTTTCTTTACGAATAAGTCAGATAAAAAAGGAGATTTACTCACAGGCTGAAGAACACAACCATTTTTCGTTTCTCTAATTATTTGTCAAAGGTTGTAGGTCAGCCCTGTCAGAGAGGCATGGGGAAATGCTCTGTAAAAACAACAGAGGTGGATTAACCTGGCAGGGCTGCTTCACGGCCATGCTGCAAAGCTCTAGACATTTCATCAGTCCTGCAGGGATAATTACAAGTCTGTTGGTTCCTCCTAAAACACTTTAAATTTTCACACCACTTGGGTCTCAGAACCGGAATTGTTTAACAAATCCCATGGCATATAAGACTCTTAGAAACTGTTTTTTGTGGTCTTAAATTTTGCTTTCCTGCTCTTCTCTATTTCTTCTTTTCTTTCTCAATGCTTTTCTTCATCCCACAGCTGGTTTTTTTTTTTGCCTATATGAACCTACCATCCAAACAGGAATTTAGAAGGGAGGCTGAGGGGACCTCATCCCCGCATCCCAACTAGGCTGGTGGGCCCTTGACATTGGCACAGCCATCTTGTTTAAACCAAAGCAGTCTACCTGCGAAATAGAAAATGCCCAGAGCACCTCAGATTTGTTCTACTGATCCTCCTGCTCACTCACACACAAAAATATTTTACTACATGTTGCTCCCATAGAGGAGACAGTTGTCCCATCAGTCAACAAGGACTATGCAAACAAGCAGCCCAGGTCTGCTGAGTGTCAGTGCTTCCGCCGGTCTCTGCTGCAAGGAATACTCTGAAAAAACCAAAACATGGCATTTTCTTGCTTAACAGCACTCGGCCACCTTGCGCACTTGGCAGCACCTTTGCAAATCTGCCTTCGTGTGTTTAATAGCCAGTCCCTTACCTGATGTTAAGGTCCCTGTCTGTAAATGCTGAATGCATTTAGGATTTGGCCTAAGTGTTGTTGTGAAGGAAGAATTATAAATGCCTTGTGCACACACTCAAAGTTGAATAGCTTTAAAGGAAGAGGGAGACCTCAGCACTATAAAAACCCCAATGAAAAGGGGGGAGTTTTGCAGCCTGCTGAAGACCAATGCACAGTAACTATTTTGTCTTTAATTAATTCTTCTGCACACAGTACCTGTGAATACTCCAGTGGTATCATTTGTCTGCAAAACTAGGAGAAAAATTCTCCACAGCCAGTGGGATTCCTTTTAACATCCTTTTCCCAGGAAATCAGGCTGTTTTGCTGTCTATTCTGACTAAGAGTCTCCAGCTTAGTGCACCAAGTGACTGTTTTACTGCAGGAGTGCCAAAAGGACTGGATACCCCTATGGTCATTCTGCTCAGGCTCGAGCCTGCGTGGGCCTGGCATTGCTTGGTGCCCACAGAAGCAGCTTTAGGGCAGAGCAGCAACAAAGCTGAGGCTTGTCCACCCTTTCCTTCATCCCCCAACCTGCCCCGCATGGGCAGACCAACCACCAGCAGCCTCCTCCAGCACCTGCAATTGCAACAGCATAGCCTGGGCAGAGGAGCTGTCTGTGTCTCACCAGGGTCCCGTAAGCAGGCAGGGCTCTGGATGCTCGTGTAGCATTCAGCTGCAAGATCACTATATACCCCGTCACTCCGCAGAGCTGGGTCTGGGACAATATTCAGCTTTCACCCGTTCCCTCTCCTGTGCTCACGGTGACAGCACTGCCCGTGATGTCCTCAGGACATGAAGTGTTGCCGTTCATTGCTGGATATTTCATACCTCCCTTTCAGCTCTCTCCTTTTGCTGCACACCCCAAGCAGCGTGGGGATATTTCAGACAGTCTTTACTGATTGACTTTTTTATTTAATGGTATAATTTCTAAAAATACCGTCCAGCATTATGCTTTACATGCTGCTCTCGGCTGCATTGGTTAAACCTCCATAGCCTTCAGCAGGTGTCACACAGGTTAGCAAAGAGCTGGAGGTGGCCCTTAACCTGTCAGTGAGCTCTTAGAGGACTTGAGAATGGGATTTCAAACTGTGTTTAGTAAGAGACAGTGTCATATTAAAGCAGTAATGAAACAATTTCAAAGTGCTTCCTAACTATGTTCACAGCAAGAAAAGCTTTCTGGTTGTTGATTCTTTGCATCCTCAGGAATTGCATCAAAACAACACCTCCAGCAGCTTGCGCTAGTGCTGAGATGAATAACAGCCAGGGACTGGTCCTGCACTCGCATGTCGTGCTTCCTAAAGGTGAAATTAAATGGTTCGTTGCTCACAAAAACTTAATGAGCCTCATACGCTGCTCACCAGGGCAGTCCTGATTAACTGAAGCACAGGGTGTGATGTTGGGTCCCAACAGCTTCAGTACAGTGGGTGATGCCAGAGCAGCCTGAGGCTCCCAGCCGAGAGAAGGCTCATTCCCCTGGGCATGGAAAGCCTCCTTCCTCACATTAGAAGGAAAAAAGGATGCTTCATGTTTGTTCTTGAATGTAAAAAGTTCAGTAGCCCCTTTCCACAAACATTCTCTTTCCTGCATCAAATTTGCTTTCAAGCTCTGTGTATTTGTACTTCCAAGTTTAACTGGAACTTACAGTTCCCCAGCTGGGAGGTTCACATTTGGAATATGGGAAGAATTTCATTTCCACTTCATTTGACTTCTCTCTACTTATGCAATAAAGACATAAAAGTAATGCCGCAGATTTCTCTGGGGTGTGCACCCGTTGTAAACTGGTGTGTTTGGGACCTTCTCACCACTACTAGAGCAGGTCTCCTGAGAAGTAAAGGGTACTTAAAGGTACCTGAGACTGCAGGGCTCAATTCTCTTCTCATTGTGGATATCAGTGTATTCGGCCACAGGTTTCAAGGTTGGAAGGAATCAGTTACTGCCTAGCCCGATGTGCTGCAGAACGAAAGCTGTGTGCCCTACTGGAGGCTGGGCGCAGGGTTTGGGGGACAAGTGAGGTGGGCGAGATGGGACCTCTCTGCAGGGAGACATGGCGGTGTCCCTGGGAAGGGGTCAGCGGCAGGCATGGACTCAGCAGGGCTGTGCAGTCATGGAGAGCGGGGAACAGAGGGAGTATGTGTGTGGTAGGGACGGGAGGAGCTCCAAGACTTGCACAGTAAAGGAAAGCAGACCCAGGCAAAGAGTGTGAGACCTGCTGCGCTCTTGTTGTAGTAAGATCTCTTTAAGGGCTAACTGGAAAAAAAATACAGCCCTGAAGGGACCATTTTATTTAATTTTAAAAAAAGTAAAACCAATTCTCTGAATACCTCAGAGTGCATGGATTTCATTGACATTTATAAGCCAAAATATTACTGTATAGATAAATTCAGACCTTTACTCCAAATCATGCTTGAATATTAGAAAAAATTTACATAAACTCAAGTATTCAAAGACTGAGGGCATCTCAGTTATATTTTATCATGTCAGTTTGCACTGAAATTCTTGTTTTGTGATGATTTAGTTATGACTCTAAGTAAAATTTAATTCAAAACCAGCCCCCAGTAATGGTTTATCTTTGGTCAAGGTTTTTAAATAGAGGTCAGCCATAAAAGTTTCTTCTCCTCCCCACTTGCAGATCTCCACACGATGTCTGTCTCCTTGTACACTTTGGGTCATCCCATAAAATGCCTTCCCAGCTGATTTTCAAGGCCTTTGGCAACTTTTCCTGCATCTACCTATTGCTCAGGGGTATTTGATCTCCTCCTTCCAGAGCACTGCTCTGTGCTGCAGTCCTGGCAAAGGTGGTGAAACTCCACAGAGACTGAAATAACATGAATCAACACCCACCCCCTCCAAGGGTTGCCATGGGGTACATGATTTCTGTGTGGAACCTCTATGGGACTGCTAAAAAAGGCAGGGCTGCCCGACGGTCCAATCTCACATGATTAACGTGAGGCTGTTTGCCATGGCAAGCACTGCAGCTGCCTTGTGGCCGATGGCAAACTAAAAGCAGGCTCAGAGGCCAGCTTTGCTTTGAGGAGGCGGTGGGTAGGGTTCCACTGCACATTTTACAAGCTCAAACCCATCCCTGGGGCTCGTGTTTGCGATCAAAGAGAGAGGTACTGTCTATTTGGGTTATGTATTAAAAGCCAGGAAATCTATGCTTTTGCCCAGATGGAAATTTCTGTGACTCTCACAGCTGAATAGCTGCCTTCCACCCGTAACAGGAATGAGTGACAGGATCAGAACCCCTTGAGGAAGCCCTAGTGAAACCTCCTCCATGCCTGTGGGTACCTCTGCAAGCCGGCTTCATTTAAACAGCTTGGAATTATTTTGAAATGACCCTTTGATCAAGAAAAGGAGAGCAGACTATGTAGGACCTGCTGGTTTTGGAGACCTTTTTCTCTCTGAATGCCATTCAAGCTCTAGAGTGTGTTAGGCAGTCCCTCTTATGCTTTGCAGCCTGAGATGGGTGGATGTCAGGAGGATGGGGCCAAACTCTTTTCAGTGGCGCCCAGTAACAGGAGAAGGGGCAACGGGCACAAAATGAAGCACAGGAAGTTCCGTCTGAACATGAGGAAGAACTTCTTCCCTCTGAGGGTGACGGAGCACTGGAACAGGCTGCCCAGGGAGGTTGTGGAGTCTCCTTCTCTGGAGATATTCAAGACCTGCCTGGACAAGGTCCTGTGCAGCCTACTGTAGGTGACCCTTCTTCAGCAGGGGGGTTGGACTAGATGACCCACAGAGGTCCCTTCCAACCCCTGACATTCTGTGATTCTGTGATTCTGTGAGATAGCTTTTCATGGGAATGAAGTGGATTTCAAAACAGCTCCTTGGGCTTTCTGCTCATTTCAGTAAGTCTGAACAGGAGCAAGAGATTATTGCTGAAATTCTGTAGTCAGAAAAATATTCATACCTCATTTTAAAGTCCAAGCTGTTACGTCTATGAAGAGTTCTTCAAAAAATTAGACTTCTGGTTATAATTTTTTATTCAAAATTAGAGTTGATCAGAAAAATTGTATTATAAAGGCATATAAGTGAAAAATAATTAAAAAAATAATAATTTTCCTGGGGAAAATTTCTTTTTTGCACAGGTCTGTGCTGATTAACAGTGTTCTGTGAACTGTCGTGAATTGTCTTGAGTTTGCAGGGTTCGAGGAGTCCTGGCTTGTTTTTCTTTTCCTTTCCTCTCATGGGACATGGTGTCTAGAAAATGGTACGTCCCACCAGACAGCACATGCCTCCTTCTGGATGTGTTACATGGTGTGCTGTGGAGGTCACACCACCCAGAATTTGTTCCAAACTCTTGCTTACTGAGATCAGTCAGGTACTTGTCAACTCTGAGCTGAAATTGCCATGAAGCAGTGGAAAATATCAAATTAACTTAGGGACAAGATCAATTCAGTGTGTCAAAACAAAGTACCCTGATTCTGCAAATGCTGAAGTGATCCATTCTGATATTCCTGAAAATGATATGTCCCAACTTTCGCCCAGGCATGGGATGAAAAGCAAGGGTTTGAGGCCAGCATTTGCTGTATTCTGGATCTTCTGGGCTCAGCTCAGCTCAGCTCGGTGGAGCAGCGCATGGAGGAGCATCGCTGCAACATCATCCCTCACCTTTGCAGTGCAGGCTGGAGCGGATCCAAACCTCTAAAGGTTGCTGAGCTTTTCTCAGCCTTCAGTTATCAAAGAACCTGTAACTTCTGCGGTTTCACAGGGAGAAGTGAGCTAACAACGCCCTGTGCCTATCAGGGAGATACAATGGTCATGCAAGAAATCGTCTCTGCTAAGACCCCTACAGGGACCAGCCCTTCTCCTGCTCACCTGAGAGCCTGTTTGACCTCTGTGTTCATCCAGAAAATGCAACAGAAATAGTTACTGGTTTTCAGTGAGCAATTACCCAAAATGCAGTGCCTTGGGCATGGAAAACTGCACAGATTTGAGCCTGTGCTTTTTTAAAACAGCACCCAAAAATCTCCCTTCTGGAGCTTTCATCAGCATCCTGTAAGTGGTAGTTCTAGAGCTTTGCCTAGTGCTTTTTTGCTATTTTCTGTCTATCAGTGGTGTGTGTCTGCTGTGTATTTTGCTCTGATATGCTGCTGAGAGCCACTCAGCTTGCTGTCTCTGCATTATCATTACATCCACAGTGGGAAACCCCATGACTGAAAGAGTCAATATCACACGTGGCCTAATTCTAGGGAGTTAGATTTAATTAATACAAGCCTTCATTGATACTGCATTTTTTCATTGTTAGGTCAAATATATGCAAAATCGTCAGTGTCTCCTGCCTGAACTCAGTGCATGTGCTAACAGTTTTCTCCAGCACCCAAAACACTGAGCTGATCCTACGATTATGAGACAGCCTGGCTCTCAGTGACAACATTCCCAGGGCTGGACCAAACAGATGGAAGTGAGGGGAAAAACTGAGTTCTGGACTGCAAAATGTTAAAGCCATTGGCCCGTGCCAGCGTGATGCTTAGCTGTACTTAGTCCCATTAGGCTAATGAGGTCTTAGGGTTACATCCACACAGAGCTTTTCATAGGATGCGTTGCTTAGGATTTGTGTCTGTTATTCTTTACACATAGTAATTATGGCAACAGTTCCTTTTAAATAATGCATGTTTGTTTGCATGTTTTATGGGTTTCTTGTGAAGATGTGGATCTCTCTTAAAGCAGTTAATAGAGGTAGGCAGAACAGAGTTTGACTCTGTTTCCATCTAAGAAAAATCAAGGAAAAGACCGTAAAGGTCTTTGAGACCTGCAAAGCCAGCGTTTGCTCCCTCCAGGTGAACTGAGCACAGCAAGGGAACACCAGGCAGAGGCAATCCTGATGCAGGAGGCGTGCCCTCCTCCATCCAAACCAGAGCAGTACTGAACACTGTCCCCAGCTTGCTCATGTCCCCACTTTCCTGGTATCAGTGCCACTGGCACACATGGGTTTTCATAAAGAATTGGGTGGGGAGAACTTTCTGAAAAATCTCTTCTTGGAAATCTTGCCTAAAGGAGGATTGTTTTAATGTGCTAACTTCATATCATTATAATGTTATAGAATCATATTATAATGAAATTAATGGACAGGACTCCCTAAACTCTAACATGCTTTCTCTAGGATCTTTCCATTTAATTAATGTGTTGTTTGGTTTGATTCCTGGGGTGCTCCTTGGCACATGCACGAAACAACTGGTTACTCCAAGGAGATGCCAGTCCTCTTTATGCCTCAAAGCTGGGCAAAGCTTCTGGCAGCCCATCCCAGACCCAGCTTCTTCCTGGTGTCTCAGGAGGGATCCCTGTGGGGCAGGAGGTGGCCTTCAGGGCAGAGAGATAAGAGTCAGGGGGCTGACAGGAGGGTAAAATTGTGTCTTTAGTCCCTTGAGCAGCACAGAACAGTTCAGTCTCACACCCTGGCCACCTGGGGCATGCAGACAGCAGACACAGCCTGCGCAGAGCCCTGGGAAGCCCTGTCCATCCCAAGCCCTCAGCAAAGCAGGTGGATCTGAAGGGGAGGGTATCAAGAAAGCAGAAGGGAGACCTTCAGGGCAGAGCAAACTGGTGTGCAAGGTTGACACTGACTACTGCATGCACCCTCCCTCAGGAGGTGCACCCAGGGACCAGGGTTTCTTGCCACGTGTGAGGCCTGGAAAGTGTCAGGTGCTGATCTTGAAGACCCTTCCAAACCACGTTGTGCAGCCTCCAGTACAAGGCTGTTGGTCCATGCAGACACGATGGGCTAGCATGACACAGTGAACCCAAGGCAAGCAGGCTATACACCTGGATGGAGCTAGTGAGTACAAAAGCCAGGTACAAAGGTCTTACTTGAGAAGAGGGAGACCACCATCGCATGGTCCTGTTGCAAACTGAAACTTGATTTGGAAAGGAACCTACCTGGAGTTCATACATCAACCAGCTTCAGCATCCGACTGCAGTGCCTCTCTGCCTACGCTCCCTGTACCCCTTTGCCAGAGGAGCAGTAAAATATGTGGAGTAAAATTACTTGGGTGAGTCTCATGGGAGTTCATGTGCAGAGATTTCACTAGTCAGCAGCTGTAGCATTACCAAAAAAATTCTCACTAAGGGCTATAAGTCACCCCAAGCAACTTTCACACCCAGGAAACCAAATGGCTATAAAGTTAACAGTGTCCACTGC